CCCGGGCCCGCGCCCCCCCCCGTGCCCCTCTGTAGCTCTGTGTCCGGCCCGGGTGGGTGCGCGGCGTCAGCCCCGGAGCCCGCTCCCCTCCGCCGGCCCTGCCACCCCCCGCAGCACCCGGGGGTCCCGGAGCCCCCGGCGGGCAGAGCCCGTTGGAAGCAGGGGTTTCCCTGCCCGCTGGGGCTGCGAGGCCCGGGGCGTCCCCCTTTGCTTGCCCTTGGCCCTGACAGGTACGGCCCGAGCGGCCCCGGTGGAGCCCGGACAGGGCAACCCCTCGAGGACAGGAGGGGACAGGACTCGAGGGCCAAAGGGCGCACGGAGCTCACTGGGGGCGGTGGGTGGCTGTGGAAAAGGGGAACCCGCTCCCTGCCTGCCGCTGCTTTGGGTGGAGCAGGAAACGCTTGCTGGGCTGGGGCGGCTTTGGAAAAGCCGTCCCTGCCGTGGGCCCGCCGTCGGTGGCCGCTTCTTGGGGCCCAGCTTCCACGCCGTGGCTCAGAGCTTCCCAGATCTGTGGGAAGAGGTCGGTACCGGGCTCCACTGAGATGTGGAATAAGCTGGGAACGGGGCACGGATCAGGCAAGGAGGTACCCGGGGTGATACCCTGTGCTTGCTGCCTCCTCTGTGAAGCTTTTAGGTGGGAAAAAATCCCCAAACTTCATAAAAAGGAGCCTGTGAAACAGCTTCTGCCTAAAGGAGATGTATTATAGGTGCGCCTTCTCATCCTCTGCAGGTGTTTCATGTTGTACAGAGTTTGCCACAGTTCTAAAACTTGTCGGGGATCCCCCTGCCCTGTAGCAGCGGGGGCTCACACGGAGTTTTGCCGTCCGCTCTCGCGTGGGATGTTAAGTGGGTGCCTTGGATAAGCAGCTGGTTCCGTGGTTTGCTGCCCCCCAGGCCTGGCCGCGGGATCGTGGGCTGCTCCCGCGCCGCTCAGGCAGCCAGGCTGAACGGACCTGGCGCTTCGGGACCCCGAGGGGCTTTCCAGAGGTGTCAGCCCGTACTCGGATCCCGCCAGGCTGAGAGCTCTGCGGTGGGAGGTGTCTGGCCTCGGAGCCCGGCTTTCCCAGGAGAAGAACGTCCCCTCTGCAGCGGGAAGCTGTCGGTGGGGCTGATGCTGCGGGACAAAGCTCGTCTGTGCGTCCCGACACCTCCAGGACGAGGCCCTCGGCATCTCTGAGGGTGCTGAACGGGTGTTTTGGGAGGGACGCTGGAGGGGTTATCCCTGCTCGAGGTGATCTCTGGGCTTACGCTGCTGGAAGTCCCCCCCAGCTCTGCGGAGCGCGATGCTTTGGGCCCCGTGGCGCTGGGATCCCTGCGTGCGGCTTTGCCCGGTAGCGTGTGGTGCCGGAGACGCCTCGGGACTTCCCTTTTTCTGTGTGTGGGCTTTAGTCCCCAGTTATCGGTGGGGCTGCATTGGTTGTGACTCGTTTTTAATGTGTACGGCTGCGCTCGTGGCCCTTCTGCCATCTGTGTTAATTAAGGGCCAGGTGCCGGAGCTTTGGGGCTTCGCTCAAGCGGCGACTCGGCAAACGAATTGATCTACCCTGATTTTGGGCACCTTGCTCATGCCATGGTAGCTTTGGCGGGGCTTTTAACCTGTAGTTATTAAACCACGGCACCTTAACCTGTTGGTTGACGGGAGACGGGACCCTCTTGGGTCGCTCAGGCTTGTGGGAGGATGCGCTGGCTGCCGCCCCGCGGGGTTCGCAGACCCTCGTCTGCGCTCAGCGCCGCTGTTTGTTCGCGGCCCCTCTCGTTACAGGAGGTGCGGGATAATTTGCGGTGTTCGCTGGCTTTGGGCAGTTCCTTTTTGGGGGGATGCTGCGGGGTATTTTTACACCTTAGGGGGGAGCCGCGGGATCTTGCCGGTCCTTGGGGTTGGGCGGCGCGGTGCTGGGTGCCTGCGCTGTGCTGGGGTTGTGCAGGCACGCTGTTTTGCAGCAGAGCACGGCCTGGCCGTGGGGTGGGACAGTCCCGGTCCCTTCGGGGTGACGCGAAGGTTCGAGCCGAGCTCAGGACACGACAGCAGGCTCACAGCCCCACGTTGCTGCATGCTGCAGGGCTCGTGTGTGAGCTAAGACTGGCTCAAGTTAGGCCAGTCCTTAGGAAAAATATCTTCCTAGGGAGCGTGCGTGGGGCTGGTGTGAGCCCGTGGGGCTTTGCGCCGGCTGCGGGGAGAGGCGTGGGGCAGAGGTGGGGAGGAGCACGGGGATGGGAGCTGCGGATGGGATGCACCACGTAACGCTGCTGTGAATAAGGAGGAAAGAAGAATTGGGTTCCGCGCGAGGCTCTTTAGCTGCTGGCTCTCGTATCCTCAGCTGCTCGTTCTCCTCTTCCAGGCTTGGGTTTTTATCTTCCCCCACTGGTGTCTGTGCCTGGTCCGGAGGGTTTATTCGCCGAGGACATGCAGTGCTGCTTGGCAGTGTGGGGGCCGTCACTGCCTCGTGCCTTCCTGGCCTTTTGTGTTGGCTTGAAATTGGCTCATATCAACAGAGAACAGTTGTGTGAAGTCCCCAGGGCTTCAGTTACCCCTCTCAGTATTTAGGATTTTTTCAGTCTGCCTTAAGTTTCTTTAATTATGCCAACTTACTGGGTTTTACTGATCCACCTCCTGCCCTCAAGTGCTTTATTTGCAGCTGCGGGAGGGCGTGTTACTTGCTCACAGGAGGTTTTTTTCCCTGCTAACCCTCATCTGACCCGCTGTTTTCTAGGTGAGCTGTCTCCTAGAAGCTTGCCCTTTGCGTTCCCGCTCCTCTTTGCCTCTCCCTCCACTTCAGGTACCAGCACGTACCCCCCAGCACGCCGGGGACGTGTGTTTGCGCAGGGCTGGAGCGGATGCATCTCCCTGCGTTTGCTTCCTTCCTTCCCTTCCCGCCTGCCTCGTCAGACCCTCCTGAAGACGCGCGCCAGGCTGGGTAGATCAAAACTTACTGTCAGCCCATAAGCTCCTGTCCTGGGCTGTCACAGAGTCTGTAGAAAGATCGGCGGAGCTACGGCGAGCCCTCTCGCCGTAATAACCAGGCACCCGGGTTGTCCTGGGCACGGTTTAAATGCTTGTGTGATGCTTAGATGACTCGTTCCTCTGGAAGATCGGCAG